CTGCCTCACATTCATTCAATGAAAGTGTCTCGTACGTATCTATTTTGAGCATTCAACAACTGTACAACCGCATGTTATATTACGAAAATATATTTTTATAATTGATTTTATTTGAGCGATGTCATAATAAATTTACAATTATCAGTTTCCATCGTAAACCGGGGGACGAAACTTATTTCTCCTTCCGTCCCTTCACTTCCTTCAACGCGATTCAATATGAAAATGGAATTACAGAAAGAAGTGATGTATTCAACGCGTGCCTAAGAGAGTTCCGAACTATAAAACATAGCATCATTTCGTTAATTTGCAATAAATTAACTTCTTTAGTGATTCCAACATTGTAACTCATTTTCCTCTGTCAACTTTCCATGCGCAGATGTTCTAAACAGGAAGTCTTTTGCCCTGTCTTAATAATGACATTTTATGGAACAAAAAATAAGGACTTGGTCTTTTTATATTAGAACTGGCGTTTTAGCTTCAGTGTGGCTTTGTAATGGGGGCAAACATCTATTGTGTGCAAGGGTTTAAATTTTACTTCTAACATTCTATTATATGTGAGAGCTGGGTTGTAAAATAGGTGACGATTTTAGACAGCCATGAACACAACAATCTCTCGCCTTCACTTCACTGTGACGTCAGTACTAAATGGCCACAACGTCAATAATGCTGAAAGTGAAGTTTTTTTAAATGTGGTGTACTATACTTACTAGCAATACATTCATGCCAAAAAATTATAGGTTATATGAACCATTTTTATATGTTAATATTTACATGATCCAAGGCATTTTGAGCTACATCCGACGCTTACAACCTATGTCTCCAAACATACAAGACAACACTGTCCTCTTATCTCCTTAGTTTTTCAAGTATCGTCTTTAAAAAATATATCCCATTAAAATTCTGTATACATTCCTTGTCTCCCCATTTGAAACACATACGTGTTATTGGAGTTGAATTGTTTTGGTGTTATGTCTGTGTGGAAGTGGACCTCGAAAGCGCCTTTTTTACGTTTCTTCAAATGATAAATGAACGAATATGGAGCAGCGGTGGAGTGGTTTTAACAGGGGAAATCCGAAGGAATGTGAAGAAAACCTCTTTCAGTTACACGTTCTCTGCTATAAATTCAACATGGAACGAGTAGGGCGCGAACTCCGGCCTCCTGGCTGAGGACTGACAGCGTGAGCTTATGGAATGGCCTTCCCTACATATTATATGTATATACAAATCTGTTGACAACTAAACAGTGCATTCCGTTGCTTTTAAAACCCAGACATTCAAACTAAGAACGCCAACTTTATTGCTTGTAGGAAAATTTGGGGGCTTTAGCAGACGAGACTGGTCAACACGAAAGCTGGCATGGACAGGTTTAAGACCGGGTCAGACTGATAGTGAATACAGTTTTATTTATTTAGTGTTCTGTCTGACGACAGGTCCATATGAACAGGATCCTTCCATCCTTTTCTCGGACTGGGACCTGTTCATATACGTTCTTGGCAGATGATCCAGAAGCGGTTTGCCATTGCCTTCTTCTGTGCGTGAATGGAGTAATTGTTGGGATGCCAATGAGGAAAACTCCGTGTTGCCTAGGCCACGGCCTTGCCCAACAAAGGCCAGCGTTCTAACCGCTAAACCACCGTGGCTCTAGTGAATACAGTACAGCGAAATAAATACACAACACGTGGAATGTGGTTAATGCTGTTGAGGAAATAATCACTGTTTACACTGAGAATTTTATAAAACTTATAAATACAAAATGAAGAGATACTGACTGTTTACAGTAACCAATGACCTTTAAAATGTAAATGAGGACGGACATAGTCCTATGTGTGAGGTACTAAGTAACTTCACATCCAACTTTTTTCTCCTTTGTTTCCAGACCAATTGCGGTGTCTATGTTTCCGTAATGTTCCAGTCAGACAAATTGTATTTCATCATATTTAGTTATCGGAGAGAAGTTTCTGAAATATGAATTTAAGTGTTATCTATATTACTCGGCTGTATTATTGTAGCTTATAGAAGTACGTTTTTCGTCTAAATATTACTTGATTCACTTGAAAGTCAATTACTGTCCAAATTCTCAAGAATTATACACTAGAACTGTATTTTTTTCCCTTAATTCGTTTATATTTTATGGATATGTGCCTTTCTGTTTTAAATATTTTTTCCTTATACATTTCATATCTCTAAACTTCGACTACATTCGTGCTTTAGTTCTATATATTATCCCAATTTATCGATTTATAGACCTACAGACTATTACTACTATTCTTGTCCTTTCAATACTAAATATTCTTCGTCATACCATTGTAAAAATTATCTACGCTTTGTCGTTTCTTAGACATGCTGTTAGTTTACTACTAACACCACCATCAGTACCACTATAGTTAATAACAACATTTCTATTTTTACTTATAAGACGATTTTTTAAATTTTGGAAACTTGACGATTCTGTTATAAAAATGTCATTCTTTTAAATTTCGGACTTAAACATTTTCATTTACCTGTCGCTTTCGAATATGTTCATGTAGCCTTATGCACACGCACATACAAGGACAAAGAATAGAATATAATTGCCGGAATAAAAGTTAATTTATTGCAACAAAACTACACGCTAATTAATTCTAGTATGGAAACCGCAGCAAAGGAATTCCGCGCGTAAACTCAACAGCGTGTGCGGTAGACAACGTATCAGTTTATTTTTCTAATTTGTCAACCAGTTTCATTGAATTTGCCGTTTGATCAAAAGAGCAACAAGATTAATTGCCAGAGTAATATAATTAAAGTGTAAACAATTCCGCAGATGAGAAATTTTCAGTACTTGTGATGATCACCAGAAAATGTTATTAATTCTCTTCCGTGCTTTGCCTGTGTTTGTTTATTAACAACATTCCATTGTAAACCTCTAAAATTGTCACTCCGTATTTGATTTTATTTCATGTCTCCAATTAATTTAACCTTCCAACACAAAAATTAAATTAGCAATTGCCTGCGGCGAATTGAGTAAAGAACGCCAATATCGAACGCGCATTCAAATAAATAACAGCAGATACGAATCATAACAAAACATGCTATAACCGAGCCAAATTTGAGAGAGGCGATATCTCTCAGTTTGACTCACACTTTAAGGAAACAGGCGAGAGATATTTCCGAGATTTCACTTAGAAACCGGTGTGGCCACCATGTCGCCCTTAGGGCCAATATTCGCAAACACAGAACGGCGACCACCGACAGCCTTCCTTGCCTGCTTGTGCATCTAGTCTATTACAAACAGATGACGCCCGGGGCGGGATAAGCAGGCCCGCCACACAGAAATGTCGCGTTCCGTTTGGAGTTCTCAGGCTGCCGAATCGTTCGTTTAGTCTGTGGACTGCAACCAAACAGATCTCTTACGACAGAGCATCATCAGCGCACTGCAATCGTGAATTCTGAGTTTTTAAAATCATTTATTTATTAAGACTACAGATTCTCACGACGACGATGAACCTTCTAGGTTGCTACTCCGTGTAGTCTGTTAGTAGTTTAGCGACGTTACAGATGTCCTTGCTATCTCTAATTTCCCGGATGACGGAGACAGCAAGGACGTCTGTAACATTGGTAAATTTCTACCTGACTACATGGCTAAACAACCCAGAAGATAGTAATTTATGGGAAGCTTAATTTAAGTTGGTTTTGGTTAGGATAGGTTCGTTTAGGTTAGATACGGTTAGGTTAAGTCGGGTAAGATTGGGTTAGATTAGGTTGCATTTGTATCGGCTGGGATAGGTTAGGTTGATTAAGGTTTCGTTAAGTTAGGTTAGTTCTTGTTAGGTTAAGTTGGGTTGGATAATGTTAGGTTAGGTTGGATTAGGTTAGGTTGGTTTGGATTAGGGTATTTGAGTTAGGTTGGTAAAGTTATGTGTGGTTAGGATATGATTGTTAGATTAAGTAGGGTTAGGTTTAGTTGCATTAGGTTGTGTTATGTTGAGTTAGGTTAGGTTGGGTTTGGCTGGGTAAGGTTAGGTTAGGTAAGTTTCGGTTAGGTTTTACCGGCTTGTATTCGTTTATGCATTCCCCGATAGTTTTTTCTAGTTCCATGGTGTTTTTGCATTTTTTTCCCATTTTCGACTGTCTTTGAGTTGAGAAAATCTCATCGGCTTGCGCCGATCTAATCGGCTCGTTTTCATTTCGCGTTCCCAGATAGTTTCTACTCATTCCATGGTCTTCATATTACGACGATCTTTTCGGCTTGCGCCGCTTACGTCGATTTCTTCAGACTGTATCGGATCGCTCTTTCTCGTTTTAATTTCTAATCCCGCCCACACAAGCCAATGTCCACTGTCTGATTCGTTGCGATTTATTCGTCTTCGGCCGATCACATCGGAGTTCACTAAACAGAGCCACTTAAACATATAACATGGTCTTGCTCCGTTCACATCGTTAATGAATAGTTAAATTATGTCGGGTTAGTTTAGTTAGGTTGATTTTGTACGATTGCTTGTTTTGTGACAGAGGTTGGGTTAGGTATGTGTAGGTTAAGTAGAGTTAGGTTAGGGTACGTAAGGTTGCGTAAGTGAGGTTGGGTTAGGTTGGGCTATGTTAAATTGTGTTGGGTTAGGCTATGTTTGGTTACATTTGGGAGTTAGGTTGGGTTACGTTAGTTTGGGTTAAAATAGGTTAGGTTAGTTTAGGTTAAGATAGGTTTTATAAGGTTAGGTTGTGTTAGGTTTCTCCGGTTTTATCGGATCTTGGCTATCTCATTCTCTTTCTCTAATATGTTAAATCTGCGAAGATATTGTAGGCTTCCTACTTCCGGAGCTGCTTTCGCCGATCTCAGGCTCAGTCTGACCTCTCCATTTTTCGTATTTCTTCCATTGTCAGCATCCTTTGCGCAGATCTCATCGGTTGGAAGGAATCTCATCTTCCTGCAGTCATTTTCGCATTCCATTATAGTTTATACTCGTTCGAAAGACTAGTGATTGCGACGATCTCTTCGACTTGTGCTGATTACACTTTTTTTTCAGATCGCCTAACACTTCCTCGTCATATTTTCCAATGACGTCTACTGGCCACCGACACCACCAGTACCAGCACCGGCACGGTCACCGGCAACGCATCGCCACAGGCACCGCCGCCCGCTCCATCACCGCGGAACGATTACCGCCATAGTCACCATCATCGCCAACGCCACCACCATCATTATCACCACTACCGCTACCAATACCAATACCGTCTCCGCCGATACAGCCTTTGCCCAGTCCCTGATCAGTCAAGTATATCCTTTATCCAATCTATCCTACCCCGTTCTTAATCTACTCCGTGCCCAATCCAAACAAGCCCGACCCAATTCCAGACCAGACCCGACCCAGCCCGTGCCCAGGGCAGTCCACAACAAGCCCATGCCCAGCCACTGCTTAGCCCAGCCCGTGATAGACGAGCCTACATACAGCCAAGGTCGTGCCGAAACCAGCCCAGTATACGGTACCTAATTAAGCCCAGATCTTGCCCAGTCCTGCCCAACCCGTCCCTGGTCCAGTCCTCTCCAGCCCATGACTAGTTAAGCTCAGACCGTGACCAATTCAGTCGACATCGTAAAAAAACCAACCAAGACCGTTAACTGCAAAACCCGTTCTAAATCCGCCTCAGCCCGTTCCCGATCTAGACAAACCCGTTCCCAATCCAGCACAGACCGTGACTAATCCAAACCAGCCTGGGCTCAACCAAGCCCATCCTGTGATCAATTCAGCAAACTCCGTGCTTATTCCAGGATAGTCCATACCCAAGCCAGTAGAGCATGTGCTCAATCAAGGCTGTACCGTGCCAAATCTAGCCCAGCCAATTCTTAGTAATGCACAGCACGTTCACACTCAAGCCCATAACATGCTCAGCCCGTGCTTAGTTCAGAGCATGCAAGGTTCGGGTCGGGTCTCGGCGCTGCCTTTTTTTCGGCGAGGCCGGATGTCGACGAGGTCGCGTGTCGGCAAGGACATGTGTCAGCGACGCCCCGGGTCGTCGACGCCGCCTCTCTCCAAGGCCGGGTCTCGGCGTGGCCATGTTTCAGCGAGGCCGAGATCAGTGTACGGCAGAGACTGGGTGCGGAGAATTTTGGAAAACAAATTTCAAAATTTTCAAAAACTCCAAACTGGAAAATGTTCAAAAAGCGCACAAAACCAAAAAAATGGAAAAATCAAACTTCTAAAAATTGTCTTAGTTATTATCACTTTTTGAGATATATGAACTTTTTTTAAAAAATAAAATTTTCGAAATTCGGAAGTCGTTCCCCGACTTACACGGACCGGCAGAGTCTTGGCCTCGGCGAAGCCTGGGTGTCAGCGAGGACTGGTGTGGGCGAGGCCCGGTGTGTGGGAGGCCAGGAGTCGGCGAAGCCCAGAGTCTCCGTAACCGTGTGTCTGCGAGGCTGGTTGTCGGCCTGGCCGCGTTTCAGAGAGTTCGAGAAAGGGGTCCTGCAGAAACTTCGGTCCGGCGGAGACCGGGTCCGGGAGATAAAGGGCACGGTAGAGACAGGGTCATCCAGAGGCCGGGTGCAGAAATTTTTGAAAACAATTTTATTATTTTCCAAGAAATTCGAAAAAACCAAAAATGGTCGAAAATGTTCAAAAAGCGCACAAAACTAAAAATATTTAAAAAATTCGAACTTCAATAAAATTTTGAAAATTTTCCAATTTTTAAGTTATTTTCGTTTTTATGAGATTTGTGAACTTTTTTAAAGTTTTGAAAAAAAAATATTTTAGAAATTTGGAAGTCGTTCCTGCAGGCACCCGGATCGGTAGATTCCAGGACTGGCAGAGACCGGGTCCAACAGAGACCGTGGCCACCAGAGACCGGGTACGGCAGATACCGAGTCAGGTAGAGACCGAGTCGGCAGAGACCGGGTCAGGTAGAGATGAGGTCACTCCGGGATGTGGTCGGACAGAGACATTGTTCGGCACAGACCGGTTGAGGATAATTTTGAAAAAGTCCATATTTTTCTAAATGTTCCAGAAATCAAAAAATGTTGGAAAATGTTCAAACAGCGCAATATTGTTTTAAAATTTCAAACAATTTTTTTTTGAAATTAGAACTTTCAGGTATTTTTCGTCTTATATGAAATTTTAGAACTTTTTTAAAAAAATGATTTTTTTTCGAATTTTGTAAGGCGTTCCACTAGACACCCGAACCTCCAGATTCAGCGTTCGGCTGATTCTGAGACCTGGTCCGGCAGAGACCGGTTGCGTCAGAGACTGGGTCCGGTAGCGTCCAGTGCCCTGTTTGTTTCTTTGTGATTTTGTGGGAGTTTTTGTTAAGTTGTGGTGAATTTGTTGCTGTTGTGTTTGAGGTCTATAGGCGATGGTGTTTTTTTTTGCCGGTGGTATTGTTTGTTGTGGTGGAGGTCTATAGGCGATGGTGTTTTTTTGTTTTGCCGGTGGTATTGTTTGTTGTGGTAATATGGTGATGTTGGTTGTTAGCTTCTCTTTTGTATTTGTAGGGGTGATATTTGTTTACGGTCGTGCTGTGATGAAGGTGGCGTATTTGTTTTGATGCTGTGGTTGTTTTCTTGTGTGGTGTTAATAAAGGTGTTGTTGTGCTGCTGTTGTGGAGTTGTTGGTTTAGTCTTGTTTAGGTCTGGTGGTGGCGGTGTTGTTGTAATGGCGGAGATGTGTTGATTGTAGTGGTGGTGTGGTTATTTTGGTTGTGGTGAGATGTTTGGTGCTGTGGTGGTAATATTGTTTATGTGGTGGTAATGTGGTTGTGTTTTTAGTGAGGTTCTCTTTGTGTTAAAGTGGTGGTGCTACTTATGTGTTGGTTGAGGTCGTATTGTAGTGGCAACACTCGCCTGCGAGCAGCAGAGCAGGTAACATCGTACCCTTGTCGCTTAGCAGCAGTCAGCGTGGGATCTACCAGTAACCGTGCGGGCATTGGACGCCCAGCCCCGCACGCCGAAGAGAATAAGAAGCGGTCACTTGCACACGCCACGCCTACCCGGCGGAGACACCACGGTTGAAACCTAACGGTGATAACATACGCCGAGGTGATAGCTCTGGTCACACCCTCCCCAGCTGGGGCGATTTGGTGCGAACGGGCTTCTACTTAACTATCACTCCCCCGCTTTAGTAAGTTGGTGTCGATAAGTGCCCCACCTTACTAATGACAAAACCAAAAGTTAAGTTGGATCCTTCCGGATTCCGGCGTTCACTTGACTTTGGTGGCCCTTTCAGTCCCAGCGTCAAACCAAGAAAACTTCGAAGCAAAAAGACCTCCGTTTCGGACTCCCTGAAAGAAAAAGCCATCTCCACCAAAACTACACTGTCCAAAAAACCTAGACACACGCGGAGATCACCGATTAACTCTGACGACTTAAACACGTCGTTTTCGTCCGACTCTTCTGACGAATTAGCCAAAATCTGGGGTTTGCCCACCAACAGGAACCAGCCCAAAACCAACCAACACCACAAGTAAACCAAATCCCCTCTGCAAGCAGCCACTCACACAGAAACTAACTGTGAAAGCAGACATCCACTGTTCCCAGGGCGGTACTAGGGCGACACGTAACCTCAGGGACGCTCCTGCAAGTAAGGCAGGCCCAGTGTCTGAGCGGGCTCCTTCCGAACCCGCAGAGATCGACGGGATCCAGGTAGACGAGGACTTCACTGTCCAAATCTCCCGGAAAACCAAAAAGCTTTTGGCGAAGGGGGTCTCAGCTTCGGTGTCGCTCGATGCCATTAACACACCACTAGCCCAAACAGCCTCGAAATCCCAATCTCCCGGGACCTACTTAACCACACCACGGGACAAGATTCCGATCGTGGTTATCCACTACAACTTTGAAGGCGACATGACCAAGCTAAATAAAGACTTT